GGGCAAAGCCCGGATACCGGACGGAAAACGGAAAAAAAATCCATTAACCGAAATGGGTAAAAACATATCACACTTAAGTTCAATAATTAGGATTTTAGGGTTCTCTGCAGATTTCATTTCCAGCCAAAGAAATTACGCCAAACTTCAATCCACATGCTGATTTTCAATGAAAATTTAACAGAAAATAAAACAAACATGCTTGATTATCATTCATTTTCCAGCAAAATTCATACAATTTACTATAGACCATCACACATTCACTGAAAAACATTAAAAGACAACAAACATGGCGGAACTTTCTGGAGAAAGGTAGATCCAGATTTGATTGGAGGGATCCCACTCACGAGACCAGGCTCTGTTCTTCTCTCTCACTACCTTCCCAAAAACCCCTGCTTTGAGTATACCTAGAAGGAGAAAGAATCAGGCTGAAAAGCAACCTTGTCGAAAATAGAGGCCTGAGTAGCGAAGATGACAGGAGACCAAGGAAGCTGGCAATTGACAGAGGTAAGGAGAGACCCAGGGGCTATTCGGCTGCTGTGAGACGGAGGAGACAACTTGCAACTGTTATTAGGCGAAGGCGAGCAGATCGATGATGAGGAACCAGTGATGAGAATGGTGACCAATGATGGAAGTTGGAAGGGGTGAAAACTGATGATCGGAGAAAATGGAGAAAGGGGGTTCTGGATGGGAGAAGAATCGAGAGCTTCTTTTTTTTTTGGTTCTGCTGTCCTCCCCTCCCACCCTTTTATTTTATTTGTGCAGCTCCCCCACTTTCTAAAGAGAAAGGAAGACGGGTTTTTTTGGGCATCGGTACTACATAGGTATCATCAATATGGTCCTGGTTGCTAAAATTTATTTTCAGTAATATGCTTTTTTTTGTTGCTGAAAATTGAGCTCACTTTTTAAGGAATTATATACTGTATAGGTATCAACAACATCAATTTTGTTGGTAAAAATTTATATCACCAAAAAGTAATTTTATGCTATTGATAGTTAGTTTCTAAAAAGGAGGATTTTAGTAGTTAATAATCTTTATAAATTACTTTTAAAATTTAATTAAATTATATATCTAATTAATTAAGAATTTTTTAACATATTTCTTAATTTTCCCATTAATTATTATGAAAGAAATTTTTTAAAATCACGTTAATACATATTAAAATTGTAATAAATATATTTTTTGCCATAAATTTATATTAAAAGAATAATATTGTCTTTTAATTTCTTGATTATTTAATTAAATTGATCAATGTGATAATGATACTAAAATTAATATTAATTTTTACATTCTTCTATACAAATTAATGATATAAAGGTGTATATAAAAGCGAAAATTAAAAAATCTTGGCATTTTAAATGTTATGACTTCTTATAAAATTATTTAAATTCCCTTAATAAAATTTTTTTATTGATTTACAAAAGGTACTTTAATCTGTTTTATTATCATTTATGGTATTTTAATTTATTAATAAAATTTCATATTTATCCCTAATTAAATATCACTAAAATAGGATTTTTTATTTAATATATATTGTAATTATTTTTTTGAAATAAGGGGTTAATAAGAATAAACAATTAAATTCCCTTAATAAAATTTTTTTATTGATTTA